TCAAAATTATTCCCGGATGCTTAATAGCTTAACTGGTCATCATCTGATGAAAAAGCACTTCAGGAGACACTTATTTTCTGACGAATAATGCATGATTAATAATAATTATCAGAATATTCTATTTCTAAAGTGTTTTGTCAATTATGCCAAAATAACTGTCATTAGATAACCAGAAATTCTTTGGTTATCGACTGGGATCATTAAAGCTGCAATCCAAGTGAGTGACAAGTAAAGAAAACTTCAATCCTGGAAATAACTATTAAAGTTGTCTTTAAATTGCCTTGGGGACTAGAGTTGCATTTCCCTCCACCTGGAGACATATTGGTGTAATAATTTGTAAGTTCATATTAGCTGCAATCATTAGTAGACAATGCTGAAGGAGAATAGGGGTTATCATTGGAAGATTCGCCTCCTTAGGAATATAATGAAATCTAGTTATGCAAAGTTTGTTTCTGCATATTTATTTTTTGTATTTAAACTAATATTGCAACCTTACATAACCTTGCAAAAAATTGCGCGATGTGAAGAAATTTAATTTAAGTAATCTATCTAGGAATTTGCAAAACTATATTCCAGTGTTTTCCCTAGGAAGGAGTGCGAATCTTTAGTTGATCCAGAGGGGCAATGAAATTCACAAGTTTCTGTTTACTAAACCAAGATCATGGCTAACATTCCCACCAACAGACACTGGCGGAGTCTCTACAGAAGAAGGGGCGTCTGAGGAGGCTGGGCATGTTCAAAGCCGTCGCCAAAGGGGTCTCTCATATTCTCTTTGTTTTGCGATGTTGTCCATAGTGGTGATCCTGCTTTGTGGCCCCAAAGGTCGACTGACCAAAACATCTAATCACTTGTTTATACTTTTTTTTAAATAAAAAGGTCTAATTGCTTAATCTTCATTATCCGATAATAACATCCAATATTGTTGCGCCATTTTACAAGTCCTCTTCAGATGGAATAATGTGATATGCCGCAATGATGCTGAGTTAGTCTTTGTTAGTAATGGTTTTCACTCACGTATTTTAACATTTTTGGAAAATTATCAGAGTATTGTGTATTAAACGTGAGTAAGTTGATACATCAGTCGATCTCAGGGTATAAGCGCACACAGCAGGCACGATCTCAAAACCATCTTTCAATCTGAGTGCCTGTGTTAGCTGTGGTAACTGCAAACAAGCAGCAGCAGCAACAGTATCACTCCCACGGGCTGTTTAACTCGCCTATTCTCATCTTCCTCATGTTCGCTATTCAACCACACCGGTTACACTCACCCAGAGTACTCAGACTCCTTCACTCAGGCTCACTCACCCAGACCCACACGTTCCACTCTCAACAGCATTGCGTAATTTTAATATGTTCACACTTGAAGAAGTACTCTACGACCGTGCAACAAAATGTACAACTTTATCATGGAAGATACTCTCAATGAGAGACGTGTGTGGCCTTGACGCTGGTAAAAATCTTAGTCAACGGAGACGGAGATGCTCTCCCTTTTTTCTGCACGACGGCTACAAACATAGCTCTTGCTCATAAATGTAATAATAATGTATATCCCTGACGCCTTTAACGTTTTCAAATGAACATATGATAATAATAATAATAATAATAATAATAATAATAATAATAGGTTGGGTTAACATGTTAGAATGGTGTTTTGGCAATATGAATGCAGAGACGCACACTTGCAAGACATGAATGTCCTGGTTAGACAGGATTGCCGACGAAAACTCCAAGAGGACAATATTTTTCAGAGTAAACTTTATTCATAGACTGTCTCTTCCCGTGATCATTTACACTAACACTCCCATTGTCTCTCCCCGTGATCATTTACACTAACACTCCCATTGTCTCTCCCCGTGATCATTTACACTAACACTCCCATTGTCTCTCCCCGGATCATTACACTAACACTCCCATGTTGTCTCTCCCGTGATCATTTACACTAACACTCCCATGTCTCTCCCCGGATCATTTACACTAACACTCCCATTGTCTCTCCCCGTGTATCATTTACACTAACACTCCCATTGTCTCTCCCCGTGATCATTTACACTAACACTCCCATTGTCTCTCCCCGTGATCATTTACACTAACACTCCCATTGTCTCTCCCCGTGATCATTTACACTAACACTCCCATTGTCTCTCGCCGTGATCATTTACACTAACACTCCCATTGTCTCTCCCCGTGATCATTTACACTAACACTCCATTTGTCTCTCCCCGTGATCATTTACACTAACACTCCCATTGTCTCTCCCCGTGATCATTTACACTAACACTCCCATTCTCTCCCCGTGATCATTTACACTAACACTCCCATTGTCTCTCCCCGTGATCATTTACACTAACACTCCCATTCTCTCCCCGTGATCATTTACACTAACACTCCCATTGTCTCTCCCCGTGATCATTTACATTAACACTCCCATTGTCTCTCCCCGTGATCATTTACACTAACACTCCCATTGTCTCTCCCCGTGATCATTTACACTAACACTCCCATTGTCTCTCGCCGTGATCATTTACACTAACACTCCCATTGTCTCTCCCTCTCCCCGTGGTCATTTACACTAACACTCTCACTGTCTCCCCGTCATCATTTACACTAACACTCTCACTGTCTCTCCCCGTGATCATTTACACTAACACTCCCATTGTCTCTCCCCGTGATCATTTACACTAACACTCCCATTGTCTCTTCCCGTGAGCATTTTCACTAACACTCCCATTGTCTCTCCCCTTGATCATTCACACTAACACTCCCATTGTCTCTCCCCGTGAGCATTTACACTAACTCTCTCATTGTCTCTCCCACTCCCCGTGATCATTTACACTAACACTCTCACTGTCTCTCCCCGTGATCATTTACACTAACACTCCTGTTGTCTCTCCCCGTGATCATTTAACACTCCCATTGTCTCTCCCCGTGATCATTTACACTAACACTCTCATTGTCTCTCCCCGTGATCATTTAACACTCCCATTGTCTCTCCCCGTGATCATTTACACTAACACTCTCATTGTCTCTCCCCGTGATCATTTACACTAACACTCCCATTGTCTCTTCCCGTGATCACTCACACTAACACTCCCATTGTCTCTCCCCGTGATCATTTACACTAACACTCTCATTGTCTCTCCCCGTCATCATTTGCACTAACACTCTCACTGTCTCTCCCCGTGATCATTTACACTAACACTCCCATTGTCTCTCCCCGTCATCATTTGCACTAACACTCTCACTGTCTCTCCCCGTGATCATTTACACTAACACTCCCATTGTCTCTCCCCATGATCATTTAACACTCCCATTGTCTCTCCCCGTGATCATTTACACTAACACTCCCATTGTCTCTCCCCGTGATCATTTAGACTAACACTCCCATTGTCTCTCCCCGTGATCATTTACACTAACACTCCCATTGTCCTCTCCCCGTGATCATTTTACACTAACACTCCCATTGTCTCTCCCCGTGATCATTTACACTAACACTCCCATTGTCTCTCCCCGTGATCATTTACACTAACACTCCCATTGTCTCTCCCCGTGATCATTTACACTAACACTCCCATTGTCTCTCCCCGTCATCATTCACGCTAACACTCTCACTGTCTCTCTCCGTCATCATTCACACTAACACTCTCACTGTCTCTCCCCGTCATCATTTACACTAACACTTTGTCTCTCCCAGTCATCATTCACACATCCTATGCACCAGTAACTTTTCAAAAACTATATTTCATATTTTATTGTGCCAATAATGTCGTGATTTTTTTGAATAGCATTTTGATGTTGGTATGTTGTACCCACAGTGTAGCGAGTGCATGTCTTAATGTTGAATGTTTGCATGTGACTTGCTGGCGGAGCCTCTCGCATGCTGACGTGACAAAGAATGACAAATGAATTCATGTGCTTGGACGAGCCTGCATGTGTGTATTGCGAAGGTCACATGTGCATGACAGTGCTCAACCACAAATTATATGGAATGTGGTTTTATGTGTTTTTAATGAGAAATTGGTGCAGTATTTTATTTCTGAATACCACTGGCTCAAAAGTAGACTAATTTGAAAATACTGATTGCTTGTAAACTTACTCAGTTCTATTCGGGACGATCTGTTGATAAATGCGATTGTCCCGATTATTTCTTATCAAAAATTTAAAAAGGTAAAGGCAACACATTGTTGTTTTATATGATAATTCACAACATTAACTTATCTTGACCAGTGGTTGAGAGGTTACATGACATATATGGCGCCTCACCTTACCGTGAGTCTTATAACTAAAAATATTGTATTTATTATCAACGTACTGTTCTGCTAATATTCAACTCATATAACCAAGTGCAGCTGTGTTTCTTGTGGATTTTCTAAAGTAAATTATTTCGATCATGAGAAGATCAGTTGTTATGCTAGTTGCCGTGCATATATATATATATATTTATATATATATATTATATATATATATATAATATTATAATGTGTATATATATATATATATTATATTATATAATATATATATATATATAATATAATTATGTTGTTTTTCTTGGGAAGTTCTTCATTCGATCCAGTTATTCTGTTCCATTTATAAATCAGCTAATTAAAAAATACCACAATGACAAAGATGGCAGGAAACACTTGAGAGCTTTACTTGATTTACAACAAAAATCGACAGTAGCGAAGAAAAGATATATTGCATAATAGACTTTTACTGGAGTAGTTTCGCTCTGGGTAAAACTTTATCATAACTTGATCAAGCTCTACACAGAGCTAGATGTCCCAAGAAAAACTTACCTTATAAAGTGTCTTTTTTCACTAGTTTTTCACTGGGGTATTTTTAATATTTGTAGTTTAATAGATATTTCTCTCCATAATATACTTTACATATTGCCAGTCTTAGCACCTGGTATGAAGACTCACGGTAGGGACAAGCGCCACATTCAACAAGAAATGTTGGTCATGAAATACTTGCACAGGGTCTGGCGAGTGCCTTGGACCGGGTGGGACGGGAGAGGAAGATGGGCGAGGAGCGTGGTGTGCAGTACAAGATTATCAACCCTAAAGCTCTGACCTTGGGCCAACTCTACGGTGCCTACGACCCTTTCTCACATGAGTGGTCAGACGGTAATGTTTTCCTCTATCTTGGCTTGGTTATTATTAATATTATTAGTATTATTTTAATATTATTATTATTATTATTATTATTATTATTATTATTATTATTATTATTATTATTATTATTATTATTATTATTTGGTAGGAAAATAACAGGACAATCCCCGGAACGAGAAATAAAGTGAGTAATCCCAATATTCAAGCAAAGGTAATGAGTGACAACACTTAACCACACGTGGTTATTAAAAATATTTATAAATTATCTTGGGTAAGGGAGAAGATAACCAGAAGGAGAGTAGTGGAAAAAAATTGATTAAAGCAGTTTATTCTTACGACGACTTTAGTGCGTTTAGAGTAAATTCTGATCTCCTATCCTATTTGAGTTTCGTAAGATGGCAAGAAACTAAGAAAGAGATGGATTAGTGGACTATATTTTATTTCTGTAAGAATGTTTGGGATAATGTGGCACACAAGAGAATAGTGCGTTAACTACAGAATGTATGGGGAAGGGCTTTATAATGAAATTAAAATACGTAAGAGGAGGGAGACAGAGTGATGTCCTTGGAAGAGGTAGTAGGATGGATAAGCGGAGCTCCAGAAGCACCAGTAAACGAGATGCTAATGTTGCGGTACGTGCTAACGACATGCCAGAAGAATAAAAACGGCACAATACCGTGACTGGAACAATATACAAATAACCTGCACATAGAATGAAACTTTAAACAACGTTTTTGTCCTATTTGGATCATTAACGGCGTCCCGTAGCTCGATAGATAGTTCACTCACATACTGAGGTCCGGGTATCGATCCCCTGGTACGGATGGAAAACATTATGACGTGTTTCCATAAGACACCTACTGTCCATGTTCATCTATCAGTAAAATGGGTGTCTAGGTACCTGACATCAGACATGCTACTGTATACAAAGCCGCTTGTTATGCAGTGCATTTCGGGCAAATTAGATCATTTTGTCCCAGGATGCAACCTACACTAAGCTACTAACACCCAGATACCCATTTTACTGATAGGTGTACAGGAACAGCATGTTTCTTAAGGAATTGCGTTCTAATGTTTCCACCCATACCGGGGATCGAACCACGGACCTCAGTTTGTGAGCTGAGTGGGCTAGCAACCGGCTAGTAGTCTCATCCTCTTCTCGCTCTTCATAGAGTCGCGTTGTTCAGAGAGCCGGTGAAGAATTGTCTTCCATGACTATATTTCTTAAGTTTTTCAGTATCCTGTTTTGCCTTTTTATTCTCTCTTATCTCTAATCTATTTCCTTTACACAGGACCTCTCTCTATGCTTAATTTCCAAATATTTTTTTCCTGGAGAAGATGGTTGTAGCTTTACCACTTGCTTCTTATCTTTATTCCTTCTGTTATGTTCTTAAACTATTCTCTGCATTTTTACCTTGTATAAACTCTTTATTTTTTTTTGTAAATTTTAAGTGCGAGGTGAATTATTCCATGTATCCCCGTCATGCTTGTCACTTGCGACCACTATAGTTATATGCTATTCACTCTTTTCTCTCATCTTATTTTTTTCTTCATTTCTTCCTTTACTTAAGTCATGTTGGGGTGATTTTCGGAGGCCACTACCCGCTGTTACATAAATAATGTAGTCATCTGAGAGTTGAACCCTGGTCAGTAGTGTGAGATTATTTAGCCATGTCCATCTGGATACTAATGAAATTTCTGGCATATATTTTGTCATGATCAGTTGTTTATAATCTGTCTTCCTTGTGTCGTAGTGATAGTTGTATTGTGGAGCTACACGATGTAGTATTTTAATTTCCCTGTTAATAATTTTTACATCACCATGTATATCCCTTCGAGTTTAAACAAAAATGTCAAATTCTCGAGTCTTCAGAACATACGTGACCTGACCTAATCCTTACTGTCGCCTTACCCCCCCAATTCCCTGGCTAACTTCTAGTTTTATCCTCTTTTCTTTCTTACTCGTGACTTTGTAATGACCCACGACGAACCGAAACGTCTAGTTTTGGTGTCAAGTTGTTGGTTAGTTGTGAATAAACTGAATCTTACAAGGCTGTGGTGGTTCTATCATATAGGTGTCCTGGCCAAGACCTTCCGGGAGATGGCGGTGTCGACGTCTGAGGAGCGACGCTGGCTTGTGCTCGACGGTCCGGTTGACGCTGTCTGGGTGGAGAACCTCAACACAGTACTCGACGATAACAAGAAACTTTGTCTTATGTCCGGAGAGATTATACAGGTAAGCTCGAAGGACGATGCACATTTTACACGAAAGATATTGTATCGTGAGATCGTACAGGTTTACATGATGGGGCATTGGGGCGAAACACTTCTAAGAGGGAAAATTATGCTTGTATCAGAGATGCAGGTGAATTTGAAGGATGTCATCAGTTTGATGATGGATTATGTTTCTAAGAGAGATCATACATGTTGTATGGGTCCTTGGATGAGTGATGGTAGCAGGAAACAACTATAAACTGTCATGGAGGCGTATATTCGATAAGCGTGGAAGAGCCCCAGCCTGTCCGTCTACCCGTCTCGTTAGCCTGCCTCAATCTAAGAGGAAGACCTACGTGTGGGGGAATCACGTGACGTCAGGCTATCAAGGGAGCCTGACTATAAATGTTATTAGGACAAATATATATACTGCACAAGTATCGTCTGTTAACAGCATTCTCGACATACAACTAAAAACTAATACATAAGGTAGACGGCAGACGTTGCAAAAAAAAAAAAAAAAGTTGTACAACGGACATAGTACATACTTGAATATAATGTATTGCAAATCATGGTGAATCATAGTAATTAATGAGATTACATGTGGACAAATGAGATCGATCGATGTTATTCATGTGATCTACGGAGTCTTAGGAAACTTATTTACAATGAAGAAAGTGTTTAACAGAAAAGACATATTCGGTGCACTTGAGTTTTTTATTGTTAAATCTCAGAATTCGGAGAGAACGTGAACACTTAAAAAAAAAAAAAGATTCATGATTACACTGACATACTGTACGGCTTACTACACACAGTTGTGTACTGATTGGACTATTCTAATTATCTGTACAAGCTATTTACACTTAACCCTAACTCTGCTAGAGTGAGATTTATATATGCAGAGTGGTCATCATCTCTAGGGAAGGGGATGGGGGGGGGGTCAAATTCTGTGGCAACGGCTCACACATGCCGTGACCGAGGAGGATTAACATGAGTATTAACAGCTAAAACTTGAGGATTCCTCATCACTTGTCATGTACGTAGAGAATAATGACAGGTTGTCAGAGATAGAAGGTACTGGGTCAGGAGGATTGTCAAAAGTCTGACTCACTCGTCTGGGTGCCAAGAATCTCATCAACATCGTCGCATACTAACTTCTTATGGTCTAATTGCGATTCTTTATACAGACTACCATTAATTATTCTAACCTTTTATGTGTTACCACTTACATGCTCAACTACTCGGTAGGGACCAACAAACTTTTGATCGAGCTCTGTGGCATCGCAGATGTTTTATTGAAATTTGTTAACCTAACTCTCGCGTCTACTTTCATATGGTTGGCTTTGTTCAAGTGTTAGTAACTCTTGCAAATTCTGCTGTTGTTTTATGGAGTGTTTCTCGGATTCTTCTGAAGACACTTTGAGCTAAACTGGTACGAGTCGCTACGAAATCATGTGCACTTATAGTTTAATTTCGAAGTGGAATATAACAACTCATACGGTAAACTCTTATCTACACAATACAATGCATAATGTGGAGTATCTTCAATAGAGGCATTGTAAGCAGAATTTCTAGCACACTGTACATCAGGTATGACTTCATCCCAGGTTGCACTGTTGGGATTATTAGTTGCTCTTAAGACATCGAGCACTTTCTTAATGTTTTTTTACATTAAACCATTGCCGGCACAATGATGAGGGATAGTGGTTGTCGAGACAGTTCCTTAATTAAACGCTTTAGCTACTGTCTCGGCAGTCTTATCTACTGTAGGAACTAACTCACAGTATCTGATGAAATGGTCTACCATTACACACAGGTGCTTATTGCCTTGGAAGGAACATTGGAAATTAGTGCTACCTGGCAGGAGTCAGCAGGAGCTAAGTCTGTTTCCTCTACTGGTGGAGTGGATGACTCTCCGGATGAAATAGCACCGACCCACTGGTCTGATGACAACTCGTCCCAAACAGGATACGGATAGTGAACAAGGTCAACGAGGGTGGTGTTCGTTTTGCTGCAAACACTCTGACCAAAGGCATTGGCAGAGTAGAAATAGATCTTATAACCTCTTTACAATATGTAAGAATAACTCGACAAACAAACCCTTTATCTTACAAGAATCACTGTCAACTAGGACACTATCAGTATCTAGAACACAAGAGACAGCAACACATCCCAGCCACGACAAAAACGTCTTTCTGTAGACAGCCTGTGACACAACAAGAGATGGCATAATTTGCTTGAAGTAGTAGTTTTCCGACAAGGCGTCCCCTGATGAGGAACTACTGCTCGAACGAGTAGCCATCGCAAGGTTGTCTGAGATTCCTGTGACACCTGAGGCGACTGCACACTAACCTGCGTGGGCGAGGTTGTAGGGACTGGATTCCAGACAGGTGCGATATTTTTACCAGTGTCTGGCCACTTGGTTACCTTACTAGAGAATGCACGAGTCTGAAAAGACTTAATCCGAAATTCATACTCTGCAGCACTATGATAAATCTCGGATCCAAGCTGGTAACCCGAGAATGTTACGATTATGTCTTCAATTCGTGAATGCCATTAGTAAGGATCAAGCATGCTATGTAGATCTCGCAACGATGCAAATCCCAGTAGAAGATCACCAAAGAATTAATCTGGTCTACAACAAGAAAGGAGTCAGAAAACTCTATCTTTGATGGAGAAGGTGAGGGAAGTCTGACCTCGGACAAGCAGACTAAAGATGGTCACATAGTTAGTTCTACTAAAAGGACACGACGTAATTGCTTATCCTTAAGCAAGCTAGATCTGTAAAGTAAAAGGACACAAGTGCAACTAATGTGGCATTTTATTGTGGCAACGTTTCGCTCTCCAGGAGCTTTATCAAGCTTTATTGAAACGTTGCCACAATGAAATGTCACATTAGTTGCACTTGTGTCCTTTTACTTTACATATTGTCGGTAATTCTACCAACTTTATTACAAGCTAGATCTGATTATATTCACATGTGCACCGGAGTCCATGAACACATGAACGAGCGCATTGAGCATAGAAGCTTCTACTAATAGACCTATTGCTGCAATGGAACGGACATGCAAACAAGGTGAGTCGTCACTGGAGTAAGTGTTTTCGATCGCATCTCCAAAAATGTCTTCGTCGACAACGTGTGAAGCAACGAGACATTTTTCCTCTAGACTGCATAAGGCGTCAAAGGAATTCTTAACATGGATGGAATACTCGCTATTACCTATTGTCAGCATGGGATGTTTTGACTTGGTCACTCGGATTTTCCTGAACCCGAACCTTGAGACGAGTTGTTATGGCTGTTCCGAGAATCACGTTCTCTACGACTCTTCCACCCCTCAAGGAAGGTTCCTTGATGTTGGTGAGGGGCTCTTGATTTAGGGAATTGGATCTGTGCTCCAGTTCCCCAAATTAAGCCTGAATGCCTTCCACATCCCCCCCCAGGCGCTGTATAATCCTCCGGGTTTAGCGTTTCCCCCTTGATTGTAATAATAATAATACGACTCTTCCTTTCGCTACGATTGGAACGACCTCAAAATTAAGTGTAATACGTCCTCGCTTGACAAGTGATGCATTCATATGTACGATATTAAAAGTACAGTGCGGTAAATCGGTTAGAGGGCTACCTTGAGAACGACGGTTTTTATTTTGAATACCCTTACAGTTTACAGCAATATTTCCCCGGTTTCTACAACTGTAACAGGCTCTCGTACCAGGATTTCTAGCTGCACTTCTTGCACTACGAGCAGAGCGAATACTGTTACACTAGCCCTCGACGACTGACGTGACTCGACATTTACAGGACCTTGTGTTGCTGTACAAACAAAAGATTGTGCAGAGTAAGTTGCAGAACTGTTTAATGTATGGTTGATATAAGATACAGTAACTGGTGCGGGAACGGCACGTGTTGGCAACAGGACTGTTAAAGTTGATGATTAAAACACATGTGCAACAGTTGGGATACTTTATTGTTGAAACGTTTCGCCTACGCAGGATCACTTTTAGTGCCACTTTTGAAAGTGATGTACCTCGACCATCACATCTTAATCTTTTAATTACATTTTATTTTACTTTTGTTAATAATGTGAGATCCTTTGTATATATTTTCTCCACTAATAGAGTAATGTTGGCAACCCATTCATATAACATTTATTAAATATTTACTTTGGCAATTGTAGTTTATCTTAATGAATTCAATATTGACTTTCACTCCTGGTTTATGTCCTTAGTGTTGCATTCATTACCAAAATAGCAAATATTAATTAACATTATTCTATCCACATGTATCATAAGGACTGTAAGTACAATGTTTATTTAATTACCTCAATATGCTCCAGGTATTAGCATTTTCGATGTTCTTGTTTATGGCACTAAAAAAATACGTGCATAATCACATGAGGTGCTTGTCTTAAACGTCCCTGTGACTTTTTAAAGACATATTATATACTTTGTGGTATTTGCTTTGACTTCAGATGCCTAATAAGATGAGCCTCATCTTCGAGACTTCCGACTTGGAGCAAGCATCACCAGCCACCGTGTCTCGCTGCGGGATGATCTATATGGAGAGTCAGCAGCTGGGCTGGCGGCCCCTCAAGGTAATATAACAGACGGGCTGATGGTCCTTCAGGGTTATGCCATAGATGGGCTGGTGGCCCCTCACGGTAATAGACGGGCTGATAATCCTTCAGGATAGTCCCTCAACGTAATGTAATGACTGAATTGGAGTTTCCTGAGGATAATGTAACAAATGGTCTAGTGATCCTTCAATGTGAACCACATATATTTGTCCTGTTAGTAGGGTATGGACCAAGAGCCGAACATTTTTTTTTATTTGTGATTAAACACTGAGGATATTTTTTCATTCGTCAAAATCTGAGGGGTGTATGACCTCAGAGTTTAGCCATTTTTATGAATACGACAGAGTTCATTAGCTCTAAAACCTTTCAACTACATTAAGATCATTAGGGCTGCATGTAACCTTTTAAGCTTCTATATATATTGAGCGAAATAACCCTCTCGGTGTACATATACTTGTAATAAATATATAGATGGTTAGTTAATGGGGTTTAAAGCCTATCGACTACACGAGGGTTATTATGGCTGCAGGGTAACGTTTTTACCATCAGACAAGAATATTTTAATACCTAAAATAAACTCTAGGTACACATACGCTGAGAGTAATACAACCCACATGATATATATCCTGTGTGAATAAACATGACAGCGTAACCGAGTAACGTTAAAAAACCCAGAAAATTCAGAATATTCATCCATTCTCTGTGCTAAAATATGTTCACTTCATGAGTAGGAATTATCAGTGAATTATTTGATTTAATTCTTTTTCAGTCTATACAACACATTCAGCATACCAGTAGAGAGTACATATTCAGTAATCTATTTTCTATCTGGTTATTTACGAAGAGGAAGACAAAATCTTTATCTGATTGTAAAGTGACATCACTGTCAGCCGAAATATAGTCACTGCCATATGCTGTATGTTGTATTATGACTCACGAAATCGTAATAACACGATTGCCATAGGTTCAGGCCTCACCTGTTCGATGGTTTATGTTGTATTTATAAGTTTTTTTTTTTTTGCTCCCGTCAAGGACTCGTACATGTGTAACCTGCCGGTGGCTGTCAAGGGTGACGTGAAGCATATGGTGAACGATGTGGTGGAGTGGCTCCTGCCTCCAGTTTTTGACTTTGTTATGAAGAAGTGCAAATTTATGATCCAAACCTCAGAGCTCCATCTCTTTCAGGTGGGAGTTAGTGTTTTATATATTCTTTCTTTGATTTTGTTAGGAAGAAGTGTAAATTTATGATCCAAACCTCAGAGTTGCATCTCTTCCAGGTGGGAGTGAAGTGTTTTATATATTCAGTTACCTGAAAGTAAATTGCTGCATCATAAGCATAACCTAAATCACTGATGAACTTTCAAATCATAATCTCCTGTTACGTTCACTTGGAAAAATTTCTTTTCCCTGATTTAAAACGCTAATGATTTGACAATGGTACAGGACAGACAGAAGCGCCGTCATAAGCTTCCTCTCCTAAATGCGGATTTTTGGTGAATTGTTACAGCCACAGTATTGTGACTTTTTATTTTTCAGTGTGATGGCCACTGAAAAAGAATAAACCAATAAAAGAATATGGCGTATGCCACTGTTTTTGGCCGAGTCTCAGAATTTCATTTAACACCAAATATCCAACAACTGCATTGAGATATGTAGTTCTGGTGCTTTGTATTTTATTTGACTACCTGAATATTGTATGAAGACTGTGTTTTGAGCATCACCCAACTTCCCATAGACAGCCTGATCAGTAATGTTTCTGCTTACCTAACACAGTCCGGTGGAGGTACCACAACCAAAAGAAGAAGAAAAAGTTTTTATCATGAACTTGTCATGTTTACCCTTGAAGACAGGTAGACGAGTCTGTGAGAATACTCCCTCAGGCTTGATGGGAGGAAGTTAAAATGTTTTAGATTAGGATTTTTTTTTTAAATACTGTCTTTATCGAGTTATCTTTTAATATACTTTTGCACCCATGCTTTTCATTATTGTTGCTTACGCATTTAAGTAAATTCCCTTACACCAGTCATTCTCTCGGCTGCTGGACTCTCTGTTGGACGAGGTGCGGGAGGCTGGCAAGCCTCTAGGCCCCAAGATCTCAGACGACAAGCTGACGTCTCTCCTGCAGTACTTCATCACATTCGCAATACCTTGGACTATCGGCTCCACTATCACCGGTGAGGGAATGTTATTATATTCATACCCTATGACCGGAGGGGATGAATAGAGTATCTTAGATATGAAAGGTAATCAACTTAATTCATGTACGTTAAGGTTTGATCTCATTGTTTAAATCAAGGCATCCACTTTAAAGGCTGAGGAAATGTCAGTTACACTTGATTTTACTGCCAGTCATATCATTTCCATGTGCAGCATTTCATGCCAGATATAAGAGTTAACATTTTAAACTTTGCAATAATGCCAGAAGTAACTGGAGATCAGTTTCATTTACGCCTCAACTTACGATTGTTTTCAATACAATACGTTCGTGTTTGCATGTCACCGGTGGTCAGCGGAACATACTCATAAGCACCGGAGTCTTTGAGCTCGGTTGCAGACAACTTTGGGGAAGATTTTAATAAAATTATAAACCATTTAATTATTAGAAACATTTGAAAGTTTACTCTGAAGTAAGTTTCATTATTGTAAGGGGATAATAAAATAATGTACTTAGTCTAGTAAATATGGGTAGTGTTGAGTTAGGAATTAAAACAGGAACCTCTGTTTTATATTTTTTGTATTGTTTTGATGTAACGATGCCTACATAATTTTCATGGTGATGTCTTTACAGATGCTTCTTAAAAGTTCCGATGTTAAAAAGTAGAACAATACAACAGTCTCTGTGATAAATACTTCTTGTTTATTATATAATTTTCATACCTGAGGGGGGATAACGTTAGTATGTAGGAATATATGAACAGATAAATCACACACGGACAGAAAACAAATCATGGAATAGAAAGGATTTTTTTTTAATTTCGGTCTTAATTAGAGACCATCTTCAACTGAAGAAAATGTGGGTCTCTGATTAAGGCAGAAATAAATAGATCATTTCAACTCCACGTGGGATATACTTGCTCAGTGATCACTGTTAACGACACTTATCATAACAGAGAAATAGAAGTAGTTTTGTTGTGAGAGGCTAACAACCCAATATGAACACTATTGCCTGAGGAATATGAAACTAATTGCTTCCCTCCAAATTAAGTTCAAATTCCTTTTTGTGAACCCATTCACTATTGTCAGCCTGTGCTCACATATGTCTGAAAAATATATGGTCAAATTATTTAACTTATTAACATATATATTATTATGAAACCAAACTTCTTTTCCCTCGACGTTGGTTGACTGAGTACAGGTACAAGCCGTCGGCTGTTCGACCAATTCTTCCGCAAATTGTTGCAGGGAAAAGTGGACACTTCGCCTCGACCTGAGTGTTTCAGACTTACGAAGGGGTGAGTCGAAGAAAACCTTCTTTCTATTATTGACATCAGAGAGTTAATAATCCAGATTAACCCAGGATAAACAAGCAGTGTGGCTTGTTTTCACTGAGATCCTTATGTGATAAATGAGACACTTGTGTAACATTTAGGTATCCTTAATCTGGAAGCTTTTCGCCACACAGTGGCTACTTCAGTCCAATGCAGAGAAAGGTGGAAGATGAGGAGTTTGAGGCAATCAGTCGCACAAGTGTTCCATTTATCAACTAATCGGTTTTGTAAACTATTTATTCATATGGAAATCCTTAGTTTTTTTCCTTATGTGACCCGCAGAAGTCGACAAACTCTCGAAAGTTTTTAACCCCCAAGTGAGGCGTCTTGATACCGGTGAGACACTTCTTGAACTTATACTCACTATCCGTGGCTCGAACCTAGCTGCCTTCCATTCTCCCAAGCGCTGTATGATCTCCACGGGTTTAGCGCTTCCCTTTATTATAATAATAACAGCAATAATAAAAATACTACTACTATTACTACTACTACTACTACTACTACTACTATTACTATTACTACTACTACTACTACTACTACTACTACTACTACTACTACTACTGTTACTACTACTACTACTACTACTGTTACTACTACTACTACTACTACTACTACTACTACTACTACTACTACTACTACTGTTACTACTACTACTACTACTACTACTACTAGTACTAATAATAATAATAATAATAATAATAATAATAATAATAATAATAATAATAATAATAATAATAATGAACCAGGGTCCTTTCGGTTGCAAGGTGAACGCTGTTTCACTGAGTTGTTTCTCGTAAACACTGCAATAATTCTGAGTGTTAAAACTTTATTGTAAGAAGAACAGTTGCAATAAAAATGTGTAAAAAACTGAGACGTGCTAGGAGACATTCCTGTATTAAAAAAAAAGGTCACTGTGAAAGAAAATTTCTGAAGTGCTGAAAGTTCCAAAGTGTTGGGTGGAAGGTGTCTGTACAGTGCGATGCATCTATTTATAAAAGACATCTTTAGATTACATAAAAACAAAAGAACGAAGGAACACTGCAGCAGGCCTACTGGCCCATGCGAGGCAGGTCCAAGTCTCCTACCGGCTTAAGCCAATGCTCCCAACCCAGTCAGGTCAGGTCACATTGACTTAAGGGAGGAACACGGCAACCGACCTGGTAGCACAAGCTATCAGGTCCAACTCGCACCCACCCACATCCACTCATGTATTTATCCAACCTATTTTTAAAGCTACACAACGTTCTGGCCTCTATCACTGTACTTGGGAGTTTGTTCCACTCATCCACAACTCTATTACCAAACCAGTACTTTCCTATTTCCTTCCTGAATCTGAATTTTTCCAACTTAAAACCATTGCTGCGAGTCCTGTCTAGGCTAGATATTTTCAGCACACTATTTACATCCCCTTTATTTATTCCTGTCTTCCATTTATACACCTCAATCATATCCCCCCTAATTCTACGTCTTTCTAGAGAGTGCAGATTCAGGGCCCTTAGTCTATCCTCATAGGGAAGGTTTCTGATACATGGGATCAACTTTGTCATCCTCCTTTGTAAATTTTCCAGAGCATTTATATCCATTCTGTAATACGGTGACCAAAACTGTGCAGCATAATCTAAATGAAGCCTAACCAAGGATGTATAGAGTTGAAGAACAACCTGAGGACTCCTATTATTTATGCTTCTTGATATGAAGCCAAGGATTCTATTAGCTTTATTGCGAACACTTATGCACTGTTGTCTTGGTTTCAGATTACTGCTAACCAGAACTCCTAAATCTTTTTCGCAATCCGTAATATTAAGATCTACATTATTTAGTTTATATGTGGCATGGTTATTGTCCTGTCCAACATTTAGAACTTTGAATTTGTCTATATTAAACTGCATCTGCCACTTCTCCGACCACTGCATCAGTCTATTCAAATCTTCCTGGAGTGCTCTAATGTCCTCGTCAGAATGAATTCGACGGCCTATTTTGGTGTCATCGGCAAACTTGCTGATGTCGCTCTTTATGCCCTCATCTATGTCGTTTATGTAGATTGTGAACAGCAGGGGACCCAACACTGACCCCTGTGGAACACCGCTCGTGACGCTTCCCCACTCTGATTTCTCCCCATTTATGCAAACTCTCTGCTGCCTATTTGTCAAGCATGCCTCTATCCAGGAAAAAATTTCTCCTCCTATTCCATGTGCCTTAATTTTCCTCAATAGTGTCTGATGTGGGACCCTGTCAAAAGCCTTACTGAAGTCCATATACACAATATCATATTCATTACCATGATCTACCTCCTCAAATACCTTAGTGAAAAAAGTTAATAAATTCGTAAGGCAGGAACGCCCCTTTGTAAAACCATGCTGAGATTCGTTGATTAATTTATGCTTTTCAAGGTGGCTACAAACTGCCTCGGCAATTATTGATTCCATAAATTTTCCCACTATGGAGGTTAGGCTTATTGGTCTATAGTTCGAAGCTAAGGACCTATCACCTGCTTTGAAAATAGGTATCACATTTGCCATTTTCCACTTATCTGGCACCATGTCAGTTTGTAGTGATATGTTGAAAAGATTAGCCAAAGGTTTGCTAAGCTCCTCTTTACATTCCGTGAAATAAGATATCTTTAGGGTTATGGTCCGTGATATTTCATGTCTTGTGAATAGTTTGTTATGGGTATTCCTTAATTTATTTCTTTTAAAGAACAGCAGAATAAAGGTGTAATTTAGGGTCAAAATTGATGAATCATTTCTTCATGAAAATAATAAAATGACTGTAATGGCATTTTTGGACTGTCCTCGTCCCGTCATGAACCATCATAAAGTTCATGATGGACCGAAATGTCGTCTAAGGTTTCGTTACAAAATTATGAATTTGTTGTGATATGCTCCAGTCAGGGTAATGTCACATTTTTCATTATGTAATGTTTATACTACTGTTATTTTTATTTACATTGTATAATAATGGAGTAGTAGGATAATTTTTGGCTGGTGATGGAAGCCTCAGTAAAGCGAAGACAATAATGGCAATACAGTAACAAGATTTATGGGAAATATACACAATATTTAGTAATATAGCTGAATTTTAGGCTGGCTGTTGGCAGACTTCAACACTGGAGGTAAGATGAAAAATGACCGTGAATACAGAATATGAATGCGACTGACTAGTATAAGATGATCAGGCATAATGAAGAGAACGAGTTGAAAGAATGTGGTATGTGTTGTTTACGAAATGTATACTGGAGCGTGAGTACGCTATGTTATTGTTTGTCTGCTGTTATTGAGCGTCTAACCCAAGTGTGTTAGCCGCTTATTTCATAAGTGTGTGTATTAGGATATTGACCATTGAGCTTGTGTGGGTCACTAGAGTGAGCGTAATGCTGCATATTGCCTGGAAAAAAGTGTTGTCCACTAGACTGTGGCACAATAGTCTCCAGGAAGAGTGTGTTGAGAAATAGTGTGTGCTGAAGAATGATTCCTTCAGAGAGTTAAATAGCTGCTATTGTGAGTGCTGTAAGATGTCTCGTAGGAAGCTGTTCCTATAGTGTATCCATATTATGCTGCAGAATGTTGCCTCCTGAGAGCGGCTTGGTGTATGATTTCCTGTTTGAGCGAGAGACCCAGCGCTGGGTTCTGTGGTGTGATACCATCGACAGAGACAGACTCGTCATACCCCCAGATGCTAAGGTACTCATACTGCAGTAATTAAAAGTGTTTTATATACCTAGACAAAATCATGTGAATATTAATACGAAACACATAGGCCATTTTCTTTCAGCGTAGAGTGACCAGATGGCCTCCAACAGCGCTCGGTTCATAACTGCCTCTCAATAAGAGCAAAGATCTCGCAGTTGCAGAGATATACGCAAATGAGATTTATCATGAGATATATCATGTTTACATGTACTAAAACATCGTTAGATACGAAAAAAAAAGTATGCATTTCGGACAAACTAATCATTACATATGCCACATTTGCCTTGGTAGCCGAGGTTATTGCTAAGCTGTGTTCACAAGTGACCATAACTGACGAAAGAAAAGACTCGATTTCTGTGGTGTATTGTGATAACATGAATGTTGACGACTCTGATAGGTGTCGAAGCTGCTAATCCCAACGGCGGAGACAGCGAGGCAGGAGTTCTTCCTGAGGACGTGTCTGGACCACGACGTGCCCCTGCTGCTGCTGGGGCCCACAGGCACGGGTAAGAGTGCCCACACCAATGCCACTCTCGTCAACCTCCCCAAGGAAAAGTTCATCATCAATACTATTAACTTCTCAGCCAGAACCTCTGCGGGTCAAGCCCAAGACATAATTATGTCCAAGGTAGACAGGTGAGAGTAAAACTCACGAAAGGTGAGTGTCACTGGTAGCTAGCGAAAGGAAAGAGTTATGCACTGAATCTTCTCCGTTATTCATAAAATCTTTCTTCGTTAATCCTCCAGAGCATTAATCTTACTCTGAAATTTATATTGCTTATATACTTACCTCATCTAGTATGATTTTTATTCCCCAGAATAAAGCTTTCACTTCCAAGTCAAATTACGGCACGATGAAATCCATTTTTTTTACCAAACTTCATATTATCTATACAAGTTCTAATGTAAATATAATTAGGTATCCACGAAGGGATTCCTTTTAAGTGGTTACCTGATTTTCTCTCTTCCTACAAAATTCTCATTTAAAATTTCAGAACACCTCATTTAGTTAACTTCAAATTTTCATAATTGTTGTACTGTAACTAGAGGAAGGTTCCTGCAACTACGCTTATGTGCAGTTATCTTCTGGTTGGTTTTATATAGACCATTTCCGATTTAAGTTTCTATGTGATAACTTAAGAACGTCTCTTCTGATCGGCTTCAAACTTTTAACACTGATGTATCCTACCTAGAAGAAGGTTGGAATTGTTACTGAAGCATGTAAGGGCCAATTAGCCAATTTTATTTTAAAATACCTAGGGCTAAGAAGCTGACCACTTACCTAAGCTGAGGGACTGATTACCTTTAAATTTCCTTTCCTCTACTTCTACTGTTTCCAGCTTCGACTGTATTCGACTGAAGAAGCTCGCTGCGCAGGCGAAACGCTCCGGGAATAATGATAACTAACTATTGCACATGTGTCTTGCTCAGTGATCCAAAGAAATGAAGGATAACTCTAATTCCCTGGATCAAGAATACACCACCCGTCCTTGTTCCAGGCGGAGAAAGGGTGTGTTCGGGCCAGCGATGGGCAGGAAGTACGTGGTGTTCATCGACGACGTGAACATGCCACAGAAGGAGACGTACGGTGCCCAGCCGCCCATAGAGTTCCTCAGGCAGTGGCTTGACCATAAACACTTCTATGACAAGAAAGACACTTCCAAAATAGAACTTGTTGACTCGGTAATTCAGAGTGAAATCTGTATTAACAGGTTAGGTTATGTAACGTTAGGTTAAGTAACATTATGTTAAGTCTGGTTAGTTTAAGTAACATTAGGTTAGATAACATGTTAGGTTTAGTTACGTTTGGTAATGTTAGGTTAGTTCACATTGTGTTGGGTTTGGTTAGGTTAGGTTGATACTTGGATTTTGTGATGCCTTAAAGTTTATAACATTACCAAATATTCTTTTCTGTTAATTTTAACAAAGATAACTAATGATAATGAGCGATGACTTACATGATTTTACATGATTATTTTGTATTATTTATAAATGGAAAAACTTTATAGTTCATTAATATTTCGCTCCATAACTTAGAGCACAGCCGAAATGTTGTGTGTGTGTGTGTGTGTGTGTGTGTGTGTGTGTGTGTGTGTGTGTGTGTGTGTGTGTGTGTTTGTGTGTGTATGTGTGTTTGCACTTGAGGGACAAACACAGGTTCACAGTAAGCTTTCATTGTGACAACGTTTCGCTCTATGCAGTTACTATGCACCTGTATCGTTACTACGCCTTTGTATCCATTGTGTACAGTTGTTCCTGGGAGCGATGTCTCCTCCCAGCGGTGGCCGCAACGCCATCTGTGGACGGTTCACGCGTCACCTCAACATCATCTGCATAGACGCCTTTGACGAATCCACTCTGGATAAGATCTTTGGATCTATTGTGACGTGGCATTTCGCGAGCCTGGAGGATTCGACTGTTCAGCGACTTAACAGGGTGAGTGGTGTTGTAAACATGAGATTAGCATAGCTAAGTTTTATACAGTTTCCTCTTCAGTGTGGGTCTGACGAAATTAAATACACACTGACTCACTGACAAACAAATCACTGATTGGATGGGGCTTGCACTGCCTGGTATCACTTTTACTTTCGTGGCTCATGCCAAATGCACACCACTTTGGTCAGACTCATTTCCCATGCACAGAACTTTAGTCAGACTTATGCCTCATACATAACACATTGGTCAGAATCATGCCCAGTGCACATCAGTTTGGTCAGAGTTTTGCCCCATGCACAGCACTTTGGTCGGAATCATGCATCATGCACATCACTTGAGCAGCATATTGTACACTGTAAGGAAAGGATAGGCTCAAATCAACAGAGGACAAATATGGTCAAAGATATCAAGCGAGCAGAAATATATTTTTTCTTCTAAGACTACTTAAAACAGAACAGATTAATAAAAACAAATAGTAATGAACGTGTCAGGATGTTGATCTATATTTGGGTTAATATAGATCAACACTCTGTTTTCCAAATTGTTGTATATTCAAGTTTTTGATAACTTGCTACGTTGTACAATGAGTATATTGAAAAAAAGAAGTGAGAAGAGGAAACTTATAAGAAAAATGACATTTAGACTTTTCAAGGTTGAATTATTCCAAGTCATTAGATGATTTATAATGGTCTTATCATTGTGCGAACTTAAGCAGATATTATATTCTTCAGGAGATGTCGAACGGTAGGTAGGTAAGTTGCGTTGGTGGTTCCTCATAAGCAAAGGATACATGTGCAATTACTGTGGCATTTTATTTTGGCAACTTTTCACTCTCCAGGAGCCTTGTGAAGTCGTTACAAACAGTAATAGGACAGAGAGAGTATATCTAGGTAACAATGTGAGATGTAAGAGAATCATCACTGCAGTATGCTAACTGGCCTATCATGTCAGTAGTTGTAGTAGAGTAGTAGCAGCAGTAGAAGTAGTAATAGTAGTAGTGGTAGTAATAATAAAAATAATAGTAACAGTAACAGCAGCAGTAGTAGTAGTACTAGTAATAATAGAAGTGGCAGTAGTAGTAGTAGCTCCTGGAGAGCAAAACGTTACCACGATAAAATGTCAGTTGTACTTGTACCCATTTACCTTACATATTGTCGGTAATTCTACAGACATTATTACATCCTGATCAATAGACGGAGACTTGAGCTTTCATCATTCCCTGCACTCAATAAACCACAAAAGTTTTCACGCGTAAATTAAAAAAAATATATATCCTCATTGTAATATATTATCATCTTTGCTTCGATCCCATCTTTGTTTACGCTCTGTTATGATGAATTAAATACTTGTGCAACACTTGGGTATCTTCACTGTTGAAATGTTTCGCTCCTCCGCACATATGCTGTACTCCTATCAAGATTGATGGACTGATCTCATCAACTCCAGGCTGAGGGACTGATTACATCAAACTCCTTCGGTTGTTCAACCCTTCTTCTCTGTATTGGACTGAGGAAGCCACTAACTGGCAAAACATTTCCACAATAAAGATACACAAGTATTGCACAAGTATCTAATTCATCATCCCGTCGGTTCTCTGAACCATTTTTCTTCGCTATGTTGTCCTCCCAGGCGGTGGTGGAAGCCACCAGGGAAGTGTACAAGAAGGCCACTTCCACCTTCATGCCCACGCCCTCCAAGAGTCATTACCTCTTCAATCTGAGAGACTTCTCTCGGGTTATCAGCGGCGTTCTCCTAGTTCCTAACGCTGCCCTCAGCTCCGTTGAGAAACTGATCAGGCTCTGGCTCCACGAAGTCTATAGAGTCTTTCATGACAGACTCAGCAATGACACTGACAGGTAAAGATGAAAGTTGTTAAGTTAATGGTCTATTATAACAAGCACGAGCATTACCGAGGCGCAGATTCCTGCACACATTAATATCAAGAATACTTTAATGCTTAAAATAGGAAATAAACTAATTCTCAGTAGAGATAAACATTTCTCACAAAATATGTCCTGGTTAAGATATGTTACAACACTGTGACACTAAGAATGGAGCTTCATAATTAACGTATGCACAGATCAAGATAATAAATAAGGAAGCATTTAGGAACGAGTGGCTTTTTAATGAGTAGTGCAGTTTTATAGGCTTTCTGGCCCATACTAGGCAGGTTGAATTCACATCTAGCCATTCCCACTCGTGTACTTGTTCAGTTTATTTTTAAATTGCTAAATAAACAGCTAAGTATTTGGAAATGGAAAAAGCCACTTGAAAACAATTGAAATAATAAATAAAGTGAAGATATATATTTCGGTCATAATATGAGGCCTTCTTCAGTAGTTAGATGCCGAAATATGCAGCCCTCCTATTTACCTATTTATTATATTTCCTAGTGGGTGTCAACATTTCCATAAACTAATATTCGCTTCACTTATAACAGTCAACCTATATTTTTATTATTGACATTTTATCATTACATTTCCCCACATTTCCTGTTACTACACCTTATCTATTTTACCGCGGAAAAAATCCCAGTTCAAAAGTCTTTCCTATGAGGATAGACTGAATCTGCACTCTCTAGAAAGGCGTAGAATTAGGGGGGGGGATATGATTGAGGTGTATAAATGGAAGACAGTAATAAATAAAGGGGATGTAAATAGCGTGCTGAAAATATCTAGCCTAGACAGGACTCGCAGCAATGGTTTTAAGTTGGAAAAATTCAGATTCAGGAAGGATATAGGATAGATCTGTCATTTCAGCAGAGCCTTCAACATAGGAGGGATGTGGGTGGCCTTACTGTTATGTACAAGGCCAATATTGTCAAAATACCACACTTGGATCCACTTCGAGGACAGCGTGAAACAAGCTTTTATGCCACAAGACGGGCAGAAAGCAGCAACTTCACTCTGGCTGTACCCTTCTCCAGAACATCACTCCATCTGAGATCATACATACCCAGGATGACTCGAGTATGGAACACATTCGTACAGGATAATGATGTCAACGAGATAAAGTCAGTTGATCAAATGAAAATGCTGGCCCACAGATGGCTCCAACTTCATCCTGTTTCCTACTTGTATGTCTCATAACAATAAAAATGCTTTCAAATGAGCTGATGTAAGTAACAGCTCTTAGCTTGCCAATAAAGTTAGGAATCCTTAACCTGTAAATAGCTGTCAATAAAGCTAGGGATCCTTAACCTTGTCAAACCCTGTGTAAAAAAAAAAAAAAAAAAAAAAAAGCACCGGTTTGGTAATACAGTTGTGGATGAATGGAACAAACTCCCGAGTACAGTAATAGAAGCTAAAACGTTGTGCAGTTTTAAAAATAGGTTAGATAAATACATGAGTGGGTGTGAGTTGGACCTGATTAGCTTGTGCTACTAGGTCAGTTGCCGTGTTCCTTCCTTAAGTGAATGTGACCTGACCTGACTAGGTTGGGGCATTGGTTTAAGCCGGTAGGAGACTTGAGCCTGTCTCGCATGGGCCAGTAGGCCTGCTGCAGTGTTCCTTCTTTCTTATGTTCTTATATATTTTTTAAGCAGAACTATATCTTTAGGATCGAGTTCTTCAACATGGTGAAAGAGGTGTGTCAGAGGACCTTCAGAGTACAGCTGAGCGTGGTGCTGCAGCACCTGGTTCCTGAAGGAGAGACTCTCAGCTCTCACCACCTCCACAACCTCATCTTTGGCAACTATATGATCGCTGATGCTGAAACCAGAGTCTATGATGAGGTGGGTGCCAGGGGTAGACGGCCAAGGGAGGGCCAAGTGTGTACGGTGAACTGAATGCCAAATGGGTGTCGTGAAGGGAGTGCCAAAGACTAGCAGTAAGGAAAGTGCCAAGGGTTTATAGTGAAGAGTGCAGAAGGTACACCATGAGGGAGTGCCAAGTAAAGTAAGAGGAGTGTCAAGGGTTTGCTGTGAAGGGGAGTGCCAAGAATTTACAGTGAAGGGGAGTGACACAAATTTACAGTGAAGGGGAGTGCCAAGAATTTATAGTAAAGGGAGTGCCAAGGGTTTACAGTGAAATAGTAGTGCCAAGAAGTCACCTATTTCAGGACACTGTTAGGTAATGATGCTCTACATTTTAATACGTTGTAAAACTTAGGTCCAGTGAACCAGCATATGAAAAACCTGTTACAGGTCACCATCTGTCAGAGGCCCTTGTCAAGAAACACTGTCCTCTTACCCATGTCAAAAAACACTTGTCCTCTTACCCGTGTCAAGAAACACTTGCCCTCTTACCCGTGTCAAGAAACACTTGTTCTCTTACCCGTGTCAAGAAACACTTGTCCTCTTACCCGTGTCAAGAGGTACTTGTTCTCTTACCCGTGTCAAGAGGCACTTGTCCTCCTACCCGTATCAAGAGGCACTTGTCCTCCTACCCGTATCAAGAGGCACTTGTCCTCCTACCCGTGTCAAGAGGCACTTGTCCTCTTACCTGTGTCAAGAGGCACTTGTCCTCTTACCCGTGTCAAGAGACACTTGTCCTTTTACCCGTGTCAAGAGGCACTTGTTCCTCTTACCCGAGTCAAGAGGCATTTGTCTTACCCGTGTCAAGAGGAACCTGACCTCGTACCTGTGTCAAGAAACACATGTTATACCCGTGTGTGTGTGTGTGTGTGTGTGTGTGCTCACTTATATTTTGTTGCATGGGTCGATTCATAGCTCCTGGCCTCGCCTCTTCGCCGGTTGTTCCTAGGTCCACTCTCTCCTGGCTTCAAGAGCCTTATCGTACCTCTTCTTAAAGCTATGCGTGTGTGTGTGTGTGTGTGTCCACTGGAGTAATACCAGTGTGTGAGTGTGTTGGTTAAACAAATGCCAGAGTCCGTTGTTCCATGCTTATAAATATTTACTGGAGTTTCCTCAATGTCTGCCTATTATCGTTACAGGTTCAAGACATGAGTGACCTGAGACGGGTCATGGAGACCTACCTTCACGAGTACAACATGATCAGCAGCTCGCCCATATCGCTGGTAATGTTCCAGTACATCATTCAGCATGTTTCGCGCATCAGTCGAGTGCTCCAGCAGGACCCTGGTCATGCTCTCCTCATTGGCTTCGCTGGTTCAGGTCGTCAGAGTGCCACAAGGCTGGCCACTTTCATGGCCAATCATGAACTCTTCCAGGTTAGACAACCACCTCGTACAATGAAACTTTTCTTCATCTATGATCACTTATGCAGTGGCGGAGCTACAGTTTTGGGGTCCCTGAAGCTTGAACTGTTATGGGGGTCCCTTCGTAGCCATCGACGACTATGCCTACATAATACTTTAATAACCTTTAAATTTTAATTTTGACTGTTATTTTGTATCGACTTTGAATATATTATTTATATTATTTTTTTTAGAAAACCCTTCTCATGGAGTAGATCCAAAATTTTTAAGCAATGTAGACAAAAGTCTCTTCTGGGCCCCCAACGGGATTAGGGTCCCTGAAGCTTAGGCTTCCTTAATTTCATAGTAGATCCACCCCTGGCTATATGTACTATTATCTCTGTCTGTAACTAGTATGCATGCTATATATTTTAGTAACTGTTTGTCTCAACAACGAACCAAAGTAAACTAGTTAGCTGGACTTGAGCCCTGGAGGAGAAAAATACAGTGCCTCCACTCTGAAGGAGGAGTGGTAATGTTGCGGTCTGGAGGGTCAGCTGAACTGTGATATCAACACGCTTCTGGCAGGATAGTGATTGAATGAATGACGGTGAAAGTATTTCCCCTTTCTTCAGGTCACCCTACCCAAGTGGGACACGGACGGTGTGTTAAAATAAATAAATAAATAAATAAACAATAATAATAATAATAATAATATATATAATAATAATAATAATAATAATAATAATAATAATATAGACACAACACGGTATTTATTATATATTCCTTTAATGAGAGTGGAGGTTTAGTTACAGTTCCACGAGTCTTCCCAGTATCTTGGATGGAGAATTTATAGAGTATAACGTTGTAACTGTTATTAACTAAGATATATCTAACAGTGAAGTCAGGAAGAATATTTTCCACATTTCATATCTCACACCACAGATTGAAGTAACGAAGTCTTACGGTGTGACAGAGTGGAGGGAGGACATCAAAAAAGTGCTAATGAAGACAGGAGGTGACGGGAAATCTATCGTGTTTCTCCTTACCGATACGCAGATTAAAGACGAAAGCTTTTTAGAAGACATAAATACATTGCTCAACACAGGCGAACTTCCTAATCTATACACTAACGAAGAAAAGGCAGAGATATTGGAAAAAATACAAGTCGTAGCTAAGGACGAGGTAAGACCTGTTGTTGTATTAAATATCTTATCGAGTTTCGTGTCTTACGTATATTACAAAAAAAAAAAATAGTTAAAATTATCCTATAATTTATGAATCTAGACCGTACAAGATAGTCAGTATAACAAAGGAAGCCTTAGTTACCTTCCTGGTATGTCTGTTGAGAGGTCTGGGGGTCAACGCCCCCGGACCAATCCCGGAAAAGGCTTCTTGCATTTGAATCCATTGTTACCTTTCTAAACCCAAGATTGTTCTTTTTTTCAACCTCTTTCCTGCCATCATCGGAATTTTCAACTCGTTTTCTCATAAATGATATAGATTGCAACGTATAACGTCATACCTTAATGTAAGAGAGCAGCACATATTTAAATAGTCCTTGATACAGAAATAATAATATGGATTAGAAATATATATGACAGCCTGATAAGTTTTGTAGTACACTCTGTTTAAGAACTGCTTCTGTAATTGTTATTATACTTGCTGTAAATATCAGCTTCATCCTGAAACATCACAGGTGTATCCTAATGCAAAGCATTGTCTTAGTAAATATTAAACCAGAACACTCTGACTTGGCCTCCTTAGTATACATATATATATCAGATTTATTTTATTTTCGTTATATAAAGTGTTATTAAATATATGCACGTTAAAGTATACCTTGCATGTTCTTAAATAAAAAAATACTATTAAACTTGAATTTTTATACAAATGAAAAATTTATTTCTTGTGCATTAAGTTTTTGTAAATGTAAATGTTTATTTTGCTTAGCATAGTCTTGGAAATAATGAATAAAATTTTGTATAGTTAAACTGAAGCACTTTTTTTTAATAATTATCTTTCAATCAAATGTTTTTTTCAAGTATTTTTGGGTAATTTTACATGAAATCTAATTCATTCTGTAATGCATACAATTTGTAGTTGTAGTATTAATGTCGTGTTCTGAGGCGGAGTGTGGAGGGATGAATGTCTACCTAATTATGGCTACGGAGGTCGAGTCTCGGTTCATGGCCCTGAGTCTCAGCTCCTGGCCCGTGTGTTGTTTGCACAGTGCTGACCTGAAAGTCCTCTGGCAGAGTTGCAACAACCTGGGTGCTCACCCATGCCAGCCTCCGCCATGGAACACGTCAAATAACAACTCCCTAACTTCTAGTTTCTATGCCACACATTATTTTTCCAGGGTCTTGACGTGGTAAGAATGTTATGTTAATGCATGCCATCAACGGATTAAAGAAATCAAAGCCATTTATTGTTGATGTTAAGCCAGTTTTTTTCAGAAATTTCTGATTATTTTCTTATTAGCGTAGTAAACGTCTGTGTACAGAGAGCACTAGTGTAGAGTTGCTTGATGCACCAGCTTGTTCAGGGCTTCTCTCTGCATCACTCTCTTACACTGCTGCACCATCACACCGGCTATTAACACCTTTGAAGATAATAAACTGAGAGTCATTCACAATGCTCATGTGGGCAAAATGTAATTGTCATTAAAGCAATAATTTTCTCAGAGTAACTAAATGGAAGCCTTTTCATGGTAACTATATTAAAGATAAAGTAAGAATATATTACCAACACAGAATATATACACCAAGAAGTATATTACAGAGTACATATATTTGGTGTTCACCCATATCCTTATTTTAGGGACTAAATCATTCTTGTCTGATAGTGAACAGGAGTAATGTAGATTTAATAGCTCTCATGCAGTTGACAAGGTTTTCAGTCATGCATAAAAACCAGCCAAATATTTTCAACGATATTCAGAGCTGTTGTATTATTCACACATGTTGTCGATGTATGGCAGCAGTTACTGTTGTGTCAGCAGTGCTGACGTAACCAATAATGCTAACCTTGGTGTAGGTGAGATTATATTCATGGGAAGCGCTAAACCCATAGAGGTCATACGGATCATGTGGAGAATGGATTGCAATCAGGTTGACCACTTGGAAAAGGAGGGTAGCTCCATTTCCTTAGATCAAGAGCACCTCATTAGCACCAAGGCAACCCCTCCCTTCCCCTCATTTGTTGAAAGGTGTTGTAGGGGAGTAATGGTGATGTATCAGGCAGGAGTTGTGACAGACCTGCTCCACGATTTACCTCCTTCTTTCTGATTCATTCAGCTATAGTTAGGTGCACCGGAAGTAGTTATTCGTATCATTTGCACATTTTACTCTACAGAGACAATGTTTTTTTCAAAACTGATTTAGACATAAGGACATCAACGATTCCATTATTGCTGCACTCACAAAATTTTAATGTCTCTTTCATATCACTATGTACCCAATTATTATAGTTATTAATCATGTCCAAGCACTGAGTAATAGAACACCTGTACTGCTAGCAGCATCACAAATCTTATGGTATGTTGTAAACTTAGTTAATGGTGAATATTTGAAACCTGATCCATTAACAATTTACAGCATCTTATCCATTTAACCTCTTATAAGAAGGTAGACTTCATGTTGATGATGTTGAGGATGATGATACTTCTCTTCATCTACTGCAACATTCATTCTTCAGTTGTATCAGTAGAACGTACTTTTTCAAAGCATTAACACTAAGACAGTACTGGCTTCTGCGTAGTGTAGGGTAGCAGTAAGAGTGAGGCAGTGTAGCAACCTGCGGGTTAACGGGTCACGCTAACGTAGTATAGAGAGGGTAGCATGAAGAGTGAACCCGTGGAGGATGTACTCTGATGTCGTGAAGCATCACCCCTGTGGGTGGGGTGATGCAGCATCAGCCCGTGGATAGAGGTGGTCGAGTATTCTTCAGTGAGTTGATGAGCTACCCTAACTGACAGATACATTTAGTATTTCTTAGACTGCAAAAGCCATACCAAGTACTGTGAGAACATATTACCACAGACGCCTCTTCATGGGCTGGAGATCAAACATTAATGTGACCTCACTTCTTAACATACCATCAGAAACTTTTAAGTATCGTTGTCATGTTTTAAAAAGCAACAGGTAAGTGAAGATATAGAATCTGTTGACATAGTAATTGGATTCGGCTGAGCAGAACATAAGGAAATTAAGGAGTGCTTAACCGAAGGAGTGATGGAACATGAACATGCGCCTTCTTTTGAACGTGTGAATCACATTTGGATATTTATTTGGCTTAAGTACTTATTTATAAATGAGTTCTCGTTTAAAATCATTGAGCAAAATGTTTAGGTGAGGAGTATTGCTGGGAATCAGCTGTCAGTTACAGCATCTTAGGGGATTTTATGTTTAAATTAATGTCTCTCCTGTCTCTGTAAGAGGGCAGAGTGACCCTTCTGTGTTCACCAGCCAATAAATATTACTCGATAAAATTTAGTAGGACTCTGATTTTTTTTTGTAAAACCTTAAAAATGTGATAAATTTGTTATATGCACTACAGTATATCCTCCAATAAATTTTAGATTTGGTTGGGTAATATTTTTGTTATTGTTTTCACGGATTTGAGGGTCAGTCAGGCACGCACCTAGACCCCGTTGGGGGGTTTATGTTCATGAATTTCACAGGCGTGAATCCTCGCTAAGTAGCTAGCAGACAGACACGTTACACAGCGTCAATGAACATACGAAAGGAATTTTAGCAATGACTGACTAGTGCAGTAATTGTAATAGGCTAATAATGTTGACTGATGCCCCTTGGGACCATTGTAGCTTTAAAAATAATCTAGACAAATTAATTAGTGAAAAGAATTTGTGTGTGTGTGTGTGTGTGTGTGTGTGTGTGTGTGTGTGTGTGTGTGTGTGTGTGTGTGTGTGTATGTCGTGCCGAATATGTAAAACTGGTCAGTTAGCAAGAACTCATTTAAAATTAAGTCCTTTCTGAAATTTTCTCTTATACGTTTAAAGATATATTTTTTCATTAATGTTGATGTAAAAATTTATAATTTTGCACCAAAAGAATCTTAGAAAACTTACCTAACCTTATTATAACAAGAACAATTTATTTTAGCCTAACCCAACTAAATATATTTTAGATTTGTTTACAATAATTTAATACTAAACAAACAGTGAAATATATTTTTTTTCGTTAGGTTCAGAATGATTTTGGCGAAATTATTGCATACACAAATTTTCGCTTGTCCTATATGGCAAGATGAGCGTTGCTATTTAAGCCAAGATCGTAAATTCTGCCTATTCGGCACGACATATATATATATATATATATATATATATATATATATATATATATATATATAAAATATATATATATATATATATATATATATATATATATATATATATATATATTAAAGGAGGTTTTGTGTGCAAGGGCTTGGACTTCCAGCAGGCATGCGTGAGCGTGTTTGATAGGAGTGAATGGAGACAAATGATTTTTAATACTTGACGTGCTGTTGGAGTGTGAGCAAAGTAACATTTATGAAGGGGTTCAGAGAAACCGGCAGGCCGGACTTGAGTCCTGGAGATGGGAAATACAGTGCCTGCACTCTGAAGGAGGGGTGTTAATGTTGCAGTTTAAAAACTGTAGTGTAAAGCACCCTTCTGGCAAGACAGTGATGGAGTGAATGATGGTGAAAGTTTTTCTTTTTCGGGCCACCCTGCCTTGGTGGGAATCGGCCAGTGTGTAAATAATATATATATATATATATATATATATATATATATATATATATATATATATATATATATATATATATATATAATCATTATACAACGAATTATATTATCAACACAAGCTCTTGTAACGAACATTACAGGCAGTGCACTGTGCACTTCTGTATTTTTCACGGAGCCTTGTATAATATAAAATTCTTTGTACAAAAAATAACTTTACGCTGCAGGGTCATATGTTAACTGAGTAGTAACTCAATGTGTATCATTCAAAGGGTAAGAAGATGGACGCTTCGCCGTTGACACTCTTTGGGTACTTCAATGAGCGAGTACGAGCCAACTTGCACCTGGTGGTGGCCATGTCTCCCATAGGGGCCACCTTCAGGACCAGACTCAGGATGTTCCCTTCCCTCATCAACTGCTGCACCATAGACTGGTAAGTTCTGCAGGGTCTGTCTAATTCATCACTGCGACTTCCTAGGTCTCTGTCACTCATCAATTGCTATACCATGGACTGAAGAGCACTGTTGAGGCCCTATAACTCATCATTGCTGCAACACGGACTAGTGAGTCATGCTGGGTCCCTCTCACTTATCGCTGCTACACAGTAAAATAGTAGTACTGATAGGCCCCATATTATCCTAGGACACTTTTAAGTGTAGTTTTAGAAATAGGTTGGATAAATACATGAGTGGGTGTGGGTTGGTGTGAGTTGGACCTGACTAGCTTGGGCTACCAGGTCTGGTGCCGTGCTCCTTCCTTAAGTGGAGGTGACCTGACTGGGGCTGGCATGGACCTGCTTCGCATGGGTCAGTAGGCCTGTTGCAGTGTTCTTTCTTATAATTTTATTTTCTTAAACAGGGTGAAAATCGTAACTTTAGTACACCAGCTTAAACCAAGAAGTGAGTCATTAGGTAAACTTTTCATTTTCCTTTCCAGTAAAACACTAAATACTTGCATATCTATTTACATTGAATTAGCATTACAATAAAATATATAATATTGATATGTAGATGAATAAGACACATGTTTAACACCTGCGTGTAACCCCTCACAGTGAGCATCACCCTTGTAACCCAGGACAATACTGCAATAGAAAGGTGTTGGACTCTCTTAAGGTAGTGTTGTTCATGATAGAAAGGTGTTGGACTCTCTTAAGGTAGTGTTGTTCATGATAGAAAGGTGTTGAACTCTCTTAAGGTAGTGTTGTTCATGATAATATTTTGACAGTGACGTGCACGAATATTTTAGTGTAGAGTCATTTAGAATAATAATACGATTGTTCACTACACAATAATTTCGTGACAGATAAGGATGGGAATATTGAACCAAGCCTCACATTAAACTGCTTGTTTTACATGCTACATTGTGTCAAGGATGTTAGGTTATTGTTATGTTATACTTCTGTTATATTATGTTTATGTTGTATTTGAATACGTTAGGTTAGGTTTTGTTAGTGTAGGTTAGGAAACTTTGTTTAGAATAGGTTTAGTGAGGATAAGCCAGGATTGGTTAAGCTAGTTACATTAGACTTGTTTAGGTTACGTTAATTAAGATTAATTTAGGTTAGATTAATTTAGCTTAGGTTAAGTTAGATTAGGCTAGTTTTTGTTTAGGTTGAAGTAAGTTACGTTAGTTTTAACTTAGGGTAGGTTAGTTTTATTCCAGATTTACAGTGTTGTGACGTGAAGGTTTACAGTGTTGTCATGCAGGTTTACCGCGTGGCCTGACGACGCCTTGGAGATGGTAGCAACGACGCTGTTGCAGGAGGCGCAGCTGGAGGCCTCCTTGCTGGCTCGCTGTGTAGTCGCCTGCAAATACTTCCACCACAGCATCAAAGAGCTCGCTGACAGGTACTCTCTACAAGTCAGTGTAAACTGATGAAAATAACATCTCTTATAAGTATGTACTAGCGGTGTTGCGATTACCGGACGGAGAATCGAGCTTCCATCATTCTTGACACTGAATTAAACAACCAAAAACTAGTACTTTATCACATACAGTATAGAAATAGTGTATATTACACAAACTTCTGAATCATTAAGATGTTATATGTATGTATGGGGAAGTGGTAAAGCATTCTTCCTCCCGGAGCTATGCTTATCGTAAGAGGCGTAAAATACCGGGAGCAAGGGGCTAGTAACCCTTTCTTTCTCCTGTATACATTTCTAAATTTAAAAAAGAGAAAGTTTTGTTTTTCTTTTTAAGACACTCTGCCTCGGTGGGATATGGCTGGTTCGTTGAAAATTGGCAATATATATATATATATTTTATATATATATATATATATATATATATATATATATATATATATATATATATATATATATATATATATATATATATATTGTAACCTCGAACGAGTGGTATTTAATCAATAACAACACTGCTACTAGCCAAGGACTCGAACCGCCGTATGTCTTAGGATCAAGGTAAAACACCTAGCTCTGCTGGGTGCTTGATTCTTGTAGGATTTGTTGGTCCTGTGGGTTAAAGCATCTTGCGATTTTCGCTCACCATGAGGCGGGACAAAACGACATGGGTTCGAGTCCTTGGCTAGTCGCAGTGTTGTTATATATATATATAATATATATATATATATATATATATATATATATATATATATATATATATATATATATATATATAACACTGATCTCTAGCCGAAGGAGACTCGAACCTACGAACCTTGGAATAAGGTACGCAGTGCTTTACCATTCTCACCACACTGGACAATACCTTGGCGCCTAGCTTGCGCTAGACGTTGATCCAAGGCAGCCAGCTTTCAGGGAGAAGGCTTACAGCTTTTCATCTCATCCCCTGCATGCATCGGCCAACTAGAGATTTTAACAATGCAAGGAATTCGCAAGAGCAGGCGAAATATACACAAACACTGATCTCTGGCCGAAGGTTCGTAGGTTCGAGTCTCCTTCGGCCAGAGATCAGTGTTTGTGTATATTTCGACTGCTCTTGCGAATTCATTGCGCGCACACACACACACACACACACACACACACACACACACACATATATATATATAATGTATATATATATATATATATATATATATTATATATATATATATATATATATATATATATATATATATATATATATATAATTATTTTGTCTTTAAATAAAACATACATGAAATATAGGGGGTGGTAGGAGAAAATTCTCAAACAGCTTCAGGGAGAACCTTTAGTTTTCTCTGAAGCAGGTTTATTCTTTTCTCTGAGGATGAGGGTCCCCAGGACAGTTCTAGAGGTGGTACCTCCCTATAGGGAGAGTTAGAGGTATTGGGAAGATGGAAGGAATATTTTGAGGAATTGTTAAATGTTGATGAAGATAGAGAAGCTGTGATTTCGTGTATAGGGCAAGGAGGAATAACATCTTGTAGGAGTGAGGAAGAGCCAGTTGTGAGTGTGGGGGAAGTTCGTGAGGCAGTAGGTAAAATGAAAGGGGGTAAGGCAGCCGGGATTGATGGGATAAAGATAGAAATGTTAAAAGCAGGTGGGGATATAGTTTTGGAGTGGTTGGTGCAATTATTTAATAAATGTATGGAAGAAGGTAAGGTACCTAGGGATTGGCAGAGAGCATGCATAGTTCCTTTGTATAAAGGCAAAGGGGATAAAAGAGAGTGCAAAAATTATAGGGGGATAAGTCTGTTGAGTGTACCTGGTAAAGTGTATGGTAGAGTTATAATTGAAAGAATTAAGAGTAAGACGGAGAATAGGATAGCAGATGAACAAGGAGGCTTTAGGAAAGGTAGGGGGTGTGTGGACCAGGTGTTTACAGTGAAACATATAAGTGAACAGTATTTAGATAAGGCTAAAGAGGTCTTTGTGGCATTTATGGATTTGGAAAAGGCGTATGACAGGGTGGATAGGGGGGCAATGTGGCAGATGTTGCAAGTGTATGGTGTAGGAGGTAGGTTACTGAAAGCAGTGAAGAGTTTTTACGAGGATAGTGAGGCTCAAGTTAGAGTATGTAGGAAAGAGGGAAATTTTTTCCCAGTAAAAGTAGGCCTTAGACAAGGATGTGTGATGTCACCGTGGTTGTTTAATATATTTATAGATGGGGTTGTAAGAGAAGTAAATGCGAGGGTCTTGGCAAGAGGCGTGGAGTTAAAAGATAAAGAATCACACACAAAGTGGGAGTTGTCACAGCTGCTCTTTGCTGATGACACTGTGCTCTTGGGAGATTCTGAAGAGAAGTTGCAGAGATTGGTGGATGAATTTGGTAGGGTGTGCAAAAGAAGAAATTAAAGGTGAATACAGGAAAGAGTAAGGTTATGAGGATAACAAAAAGATTAGGTGATGAAAGATTGAATATCAGATTGGAGGGAGAGAGTATGGAGGAGGTGAACGTATTCAGATATTTGGGAGTGGACGTGTCAGCAGATGGGTCTATGAAAGATGAGGTGAATCATAGAATTGATGAGGGAAAAAGAGTGAGTGGTGCACTTAGGAGTCTGTGGAGACAAAGAACTTTGTCCTTGGAGGCAAAGAGGGGAATGTATGAGAGTATAGTTTTACCAACGCTCTTATATGGGTGTGAAGCGTGGGTGATGAATGTTGCAGCGAGGAGAAGGCTGGAGGCAGTGGAGATGTCATGTCTGAGGCAATGTGTGGTGTGAATATAATGCAGAGAATTCGTAGTTTGGAAGTTAGGAGGAGGTGCGGGATTACCAAAACTGTTGTCCAGAGGGCTGAGGAAGGGTGTTGAGGTGGTTCGGACATGTAGAGAGAATGGAGTGAAACAGAATGACTTCAAGAGTGTATCAGTCTGTAGTGGAAGGAAGGCGGGGTAGGGGTCGGCCTAGGAAGGGTTGGAGGGAGGGGGTAAAGGAGGTTTTGTGTGCGAGGGGCTTGGACTTCCAGCAGGCATGCGTGAGCGTGTTTGATAGGAGTGAATGGAGACAAATGGTTTTTAATACTTGACGTGCTGTTGGAGTGTGAGCAAAGTAACATTTATGAAGGGATTCAGGGAAACCGGCAGGCCGGACTTGAGTCCTGGAGATGGGAAGTACAGTGCCTGCACTCTGAAGGAGGGGTGTTAATGTTGCAGTTTAAAAACTGTAGTGTAAAGCACCCTTCTGGCAAGACAGTGATGGAGTGAATGATGGTGAAAGTTTTTCTTTTT